ACTTTAAAAATGATGGAGTGATCTTTTCTTTTCGAGCCTCTGTAAGATTCGAGTTCTAGTTTGACTCACACTTTATTTAAATGCCTCTGTGAGAGGTTAGAAAAAAAAAACAACAAAATCCTACTATATATAATCGGCTTAGCGGTTAGTGCGCTGTGTATGTGTTTGTCTGTCTGACCGGAAATTCATAGCTCGGGCACCAGTGGTCGTCAGGAGTTGGTTTCAAGATATGATATAGGGGGTGGGACGGGAACATATTTGGTGGGGTACAGAAAGTGATAACAACTGATAAGGGCTGATAAAAGGCGCTAGAACGCAAGTGTCGCGAAATTCATAGCTCGGGCACCAGTGGTCGTCAGGAGTTGGTTTCGGGGGCATGATATAGGGGTGGGACGGGGAACATATTTGGTGGGGGTCAAAAAGTGATAACGACTGATGAGGACTGATAGTAACGATATGCGTACGAACGTAGAGAGCACTTGAAATAGAAAATAGAGAGCAGATTGTAGATAATGCCTTTCATTTCAATATCATTTCATCAGCGTTGTAATTGTAAACTCAAACACCTTTCGACCGCTACACCTTCTAGAGTTCTTGAGGATGAATGGGATGCTCGAATAAATATGATAATGAATACTGGGCATTCCGTTTTGAGATATTCGACCGCTAAATTACCTCGATACTCGACGCATAGTGGTTGTTTACATCATCACTTTAGCTGTGCACTTCACTGCGCTTATCAAACAGTGAGATACAGCCAAGATGGGCAGCCTATGCAACGGACAGTAATACATTTAACGAAGCAGCTATAATTTAGCGGTGAAACCTAAAGCTTCATCGATTGTCAGTTCAATGCGCGCGCGGTAGCGGGCGGAGCTAAACTGGTACAATAAATTAAACAAATACTGCTTGTTCCCCCAAACGTCTTATCGATAGTCAATCACTTCTATATAAACCAGACTTTTGGTGTGTCGGTTTGTCGGTGTGTGTGTGTGCGTGTGTCGTTCTGTCCGTCCGGACCGACCGCTCACAAAACCAGGGAGTACGAAGGGCAACACTTCGTGATGTTGATGTCATGATCATGATAAACCCACAGCGGCTATATAAACACCGATCGAGCACACTCAGTCTCATTCTACATGGTGCTGCCGTGGCAGCCGGATGAGCGGGGGGGGGAGGGGTAGAGAGGGAAGGGGGCAAGAAAGGGGAGGCTGGAAGGGAGGGAGGGAGAGAGAGAAAGAGGGAGGGAAGGGGGAGAGGAGAAAGGGAGGAGAACATGGCGCTGCTATGCGCCGGAGAGAAGGGGTATAAGGAGGTATAACACATTCAATAGTGAGGTGGTTAATGGAGTACGTCATGCTGCTATTCCGTGGTTCCTCCCTACCCTGTGATGCGCGCGATAGCGGGCGGAGCAAACCTGGTAGACTGTCACAAATTAGTAAAAAAATCCGATGGTGTAATCCATTTAAGTGGTGCTAATAGCTCTTCCTAATTTTATACTAACTTTGATCTTTAAGTAACAAGATAATGAAGTTTTCGGCTTTGATGAGTCCTCTTGTGATTGCTAAAACGCTTAAACGTTTAAAGCTTCTTTTGCTACCGCTCATTTTACTTCCTTTAGTTCGGTGAATGTCTGAACGTAATTTGACGCTTAGCGATAATTTCCAGATATACCGAAGGCTAGGTGATTGAGTTTTCACTATGAAGGAGGGGTGAAGATACGCAACGATCCGGTGTAGAGCAGCGCCGCTGTACATGTGCACGATCCCGTGCGAATCCTGTGAGTGCGCTTATTCGGATTAACAACGACACGTTGATGTAGAACAAACGCTTAGGACAGGCTATTTTAGGGTGAAGATATTCATCTCGTCGCGTTTCAATCTCTCACAGTACGAGCAGCATAAGGCATCAAGAAATAAATATTGTCGCTACGAAGGCTACTGACGAGCCTCGGCCAACATGCAGAGTTTCACAGCCGAGACCTCTAGCTACACAGTAGTGCACATAACGAAGTTTTGTAGTTGAGCTTCCGTAAGAGCCCTACCTGTAATGGAGTGTGTAGGACGCTGCTGGCTTCTTATAAAAATATCAAAAGATCGAAAGCGCTGGTAAAGGTGAAACACGCTGTAGCGGTGAACGACATGCCTGACGAGAGCTATTGCAGATAGTGTTGGTCTTTGACACGAATCCATAGTTATGGAGACTGTTGTTTAGTTGTTCTAGGCAGTTACTCAGAGTATGGATTGCCAGTGGTCGGGGTTATCTGAATTTCCGGATAACTACTTGACTGCAGCATTTATATCCACCTCGTGGATCAAAGCCTCGAGAATGCTCTACCTTTTCTCAGTCATAAATGTTACGTATAAGTTTTTCAGAAAATAAAAGAAAATTTGTAGGAAAGTGTTGCATGAATTTCTTTTCTAACCTAGTACATAAGATTTGTGCACATCTTATGGAAGGTTGACAAGGAATAGAAAAATCAGTCAAAGTTTGCGGGATCCCAATATTTTTATGTTTTCTTTGCCATGGAGGTGGTCTTCGATTCCAGTGATCAAATCTGCACACGCTTACTCATTAAGCGTCTGTTGCCACTCGTCGCGAAGTGAATAGGTGGCGCAAAACACGCCAAATTGTATGCCTACACATATTCATTTAGTTTGCCATCTGATTAGGTTTTATTTAGCTTTTGAAGAAATTCTTCGTTTGAAGTTCCAATTTCATGCAATTCACCTTCGATAGCTTTATTTCAAAAATGTGTGTTTATATGCTGTTGTGTGAGAAGAAAACCCATTACTCCACAATGTAATTATTTGTTTTAGATCTCTTTGGAAGAAGTTTCCAACAACTATGATCTTTCCTCGAAGCTTGTCGCAACTCCGGAACATGCAGGTCAGTATTAATCTACGGGGTGATCTACCAAAAGCAACATTCGGCTTTCACCTTGAAAAATATGACAAGATTGCTCCATCTTATAATGGCGATGATTGCAGTCACAATTAGAATTTGTAGCTATTACTCTCGTCCGATTACGAATTTGTCTCCAATTTTTTTAATGCATAGATTGTGAACAGTCTCAAATGTCTTAGCCGTGCGACTTGCCAAAAGTTTCTCACGAGATAGCTCGGCTGGTGGAAACTCATTGAAACACTCGATTATCACATTCTATTATATACCATGAAGTTTGTGCTTTGAAGCGTAATTCTGTCTAACCTGAGCAAATATTACAGTTGGGATACCTTAAGAGGTTATTTGTACTAAACAGTAAAAAAGAGATTTCAACTGAACACTGAGCGGGGTAGCGTTTTTAGCTACAAAGTGCACCCTCACGTTCCCTCCAGCTCCGTGAGTATAGCCTCAGAGATAAGAGGGGGACTGGAGAGGATTGACCATGTGAGATAGTTCCTTCACCGCACTCTGTCAAAGCAATCTTTGCCTTCGATTAGCTTAAACGAAGCAAGCTTTGGATCTCTCGGCGGTGAATATTCCTGTATCCATCCTATTTATTGAAAGGACTAATGTGGTGTGATTTATTTGGCGTTGTTCCTTTTAAAACCATCATTTTGAAGCATCCACAAGCTTAATCAGGACCTGTAGATATAATAATATGTCATTTTCTATCTCCCTTTTCGAACCTTTACGGTAGCCTGTGGGAGAATGGAGTAGTTCTCATGTACTAACCATAAATTTGGTTTCACATGAAACACCCTGAATTGTTCTGTTGAACTCGTGCTAACAAGGAAATGGAGCTTCACTGATACCTTCAGATTCTGTTAATTCTCTTGCGGATAGAACTCCTGTGAAGGATTGCGTTTCTTTGTCTTGCAAGGAGACGCCCACCAAGGAAAGAAAAAAGCCACAAAAAGGTAGAATTTATCTAGTCGTTTCCTATTTTTCACTAAAGGTCGTCCGTTTCAGCCTCACCAATCAAGCAGAAAACGCCAGTGGAGGAAAACGCGGAGATGGGATGCGTTGTCACAGCTGACTGCTATTTTGAGCTGTCTGCGAAGAATGTTCCAGAAGGAGGAGCTCCCGAAGAATCATCGGCTGAGATAGCCAGCGATGAACACCTGAGGAAGGAAGTCATATCCGTGGAATATAACTGTCCACGTGAGGACATCAAAGAGGAAGTGGAAGTGAAAGTGGAGAGCGGTAGGTTATGAATTTTGAGTATTTGTATTCATGCTCAGAAAATGCAATGATCGGTATTGTTGAAAACTAGTTTTTCCTATTGCAGAAGCTTATGTAGTTCCCGAAACACCGACACAAGACACAGAGTCCGATGCGGAACCCTCTGGTTCGGGAACTCCTCTGAGGACGGACGGCGAAGGTTAGTAATCCTTCCTCTCCAAATGATCACGGCTTTGGCCTAGGCTTATTAGGTTCGAAACTTGGTTGAGCAACAACACCAGATCGACTTGGTGAGGTAACAGTGGTCGATAATGATGGCGAGGAAAGGACGTGTCGACGTGTTTTTTGAACAAAATCGCATTAATGCGATGCATCTATCTGTATACCTGAAGGCTATCCTTTTCGCTGCGTCGTAATCTACGTCGCATTGCCGAGGTGCGATGTGTCTCGTCCATAAGTTTACATTAGCCGCCTTCAGAACCTTGTAAGGCCCTAGCGCGAATGCCGCTTACTTTCGAGCCGCAACAATGGCAAATCCGTAATACTCGTGGGCTACTCTTATCCCACCCTCAGTAGATTCCTCGGCATTACCTCATGTGGGGTTATTCCTTTAAGGGCGGAAGTGGTGTAGTTGCAAGTGTCGTTACTTCCGAGGCGTACACTTTGTCGTCTTACCCCTTGAACACCGATAAACAGAAAGCATGAATGCAGTCAACCATGGCGTGAACTGGTCAGAAGAAGGAGGTTGGTGGAGGGGGGGGGGGGTAGCTGCGCAGTGAGGAGGTTGAATAGACAACCTAGAAGAACAAAGGGTGGCCAATACTACAAGCTCGCACGAGCGCCAAATGAGAATTCCGGATACCACCGTAGTATGTCCGCTGAAGGTACTGAATTTCACCCGCTGCGCTTCGTCTGAGGGGTGGAGGGGGAGGGGGTAAAACAGCGAGAGCAACACAAAGGAGTAGAATGCGATTTGGCTCAAAGGCGACACGCGGAACCAACCAATTTACAATTAAGTGTTCTCAAGAGGGATCATTGGATTGGTCCTCTTTATCCGTTTGACGACCGTTAACCAATCTCGGACAGATAGGAACTTGGTCGGTTCGATTCGATTTATAAAATCGACGAAGCATTTAGTCTTTCTGAGGTTTGGTTGCCTTGCTGGGACGGGTTCCAGTTTTGAATTTATTCCAAATCAGCGCATGAAAATGTGCCATTTGGAAAGGCACCATTTTTGCTTGGCGTTGTTGAAAAATTCGGTTATAAATGAGGCCCTCCACAGTGGTATTTAGCTGTTATTTTTATTTGTTTTTTTATTTTTTCGTTTAGACAATGACAAATGGTCAACGTCGGATAATCAGTCAGCTAGCGGTGGGAGGATGATGTCACCTGGTCGTGGACGTGGGTGTAAACGAAAACGGTAAGCTTTTCCATGCACCTGTGAAACCGTGTTGCACCTTGTTGAACGAGTAAAATTTGGTCAACAGGGATCAGTAGTGGACAAGAATCCTCACTTTTTCCAAACTGCACTGAACAACAGCACTTTTCATCAGCTTTTTCTTTGGAACATTGATAATTTTTATTTTTTCTCTGAAAGAGCTCCTTACAATCGTCACAGTACAATGGTTATTGATCGAAAATATATTCGAACAAAGACGGGCGGCAAAGAAGATCGAAGAGATGAAGATTCATATGGAGAAGAGGAGGAGGAAGAGTGTACGTTTAAGATTTTGTTGTACGATACGTTTTTTTCATGGGCGATTAGGTTTGCTTCACATGTGGTACTAAAAACGCCGAGATTATCCACGTTTCAGCAACTCGAGACACCTTCATTTCAATGAAAAACAAAACTCTTCGACTGATGGAACAAGAGGGATCATTGGATAACTTCGATCTTCTGGGATTACCTCCACTCAGTAAGTTTCCTTTTATTTTCACACGGGGTACAGGGTGATGTACAAAAAAAACTTCCCATCACTTAAGATACATTCCACGGCAATTCAGAATGGATCAGTCCCTTTCTCGAGTTAAGCTACTCACAGGACCTTTGATTTGCCGTTTTTGCGGCAGGGGAAGTGGACGGACGAATGAAGTCTCACCGCGCTTACTAGTACTACGTTTGTCGCACTGTAAGTCAACAATCAGTGTAGCGCGGTGTCTGCGTCTCCCTCGACTCTGTGCTCTCTCGCTTGTACTCCTGTCTCAGCGCCCGGTGCCTTGTTCTCGCCGGTTCTTCGACCTCGAAACTGCTCATCCAACCACGTGAAAACGCGTAGCACTAACGTCGCCTTTCTATTTGGAAGGAGCATTGTTTCAAGCCCGTATCTATGAGTCGATCTTTATGATGATGTGTGCTGGCATGACTTCAGCTTCGGGCTGTCGGGCTTAACACGTTCAAACTGTCTCTTTATTGCTTTATTCATCATAATCAGGGGTTAACAAAGAGGTCTCATTCGCTGTTTTTTGACAAACATGTCCGTTCTTTTTACCATTGGCGACTAATTGACATCCGTTGTCCCCCTAGAACCACCTCAGAAGGTTCCGTAATCGCTGCCTTGGAGCGTTGTGGAAATCACGTGAAAGGTTTCTCCATAAAGCTGCTGGCCATGTACTTTTATAGCTAAGGTTTTTACGCAATGATAATCGATTGCGTTTCAGGTGATATCTCACTCGCAACGGATGACGCTATCGAGATTCTCGAAAAAAGGTTGAGCGAACTTCGAGAGGTTTATCACCAGTCCAAGGCGGAATTGCTCTTGATGGAGAAAAGGAGGCGGAAACGTGCGGAGAAGAGACGTGAGTTGTGTTAATGATTTTTTTGATAAAATCTGTCGGTGATAAGCTGTCGAGAGGCTGCACATTTCTATGATTTTTCAGGAGAGCGAGAACGTGCATGTCGTGAAGCCATGGCAATTGAAAAATAACAGTACAACTGTTCGAGTTTAGGTTGCCGTCTATGGCAATGATCCAACGTCGTGCGTTTTAACGGAATGATTGTACATTCTAATGTTTGTGTTTCTCACCCATAGGTTGTGCAAGATCTAAGACAATAGACTAAATAAATATGATGACAGTTTGTCTGACAAATGAAGTACTGCTGCTTTTGGCGCAAGTGGTGTAGTAGCAGTGCGACACTATCTTGACGCAAACAGGCTGTTTAAAATCACCAAATCGAATTTCGCTACAGGCCCAGTCCTTTCTCCTTTCGGGGCCAGTGAACGGCTACAAACAAGATCTAGGAGAATAATAACATGATTAGAGAACATCGTCTGGCCCGCTAATCATCATATGGGCCACATCGCATTCAAATGCCACCACGATTTCGAATGGTGGTAGAACGCGTGGCGTATTCCAAAAGCAGTAGGTCAACGCCGAAGCTTTGTCCTTGACTGAAACATTCTTTTTAAACGAACTTAATAACTTCCAGGTTATTATCAGCAGGGTAAGCAGGTGTTTATTTTCATTGGTTCCACGGGGTGTGCAGAATGGGAAGCAAGCCAGTCGTAACGAAACTAAGCCGTTTGCAATATGGAATCACGGTCAGGTAATGTGTGGTGTGCGCTTAAGGATTTTGAGAAAATTAAGATTTTATGAAGAAAAATAAAATTAATCAATGGAAAGAAAAAGAAAATATAGATTTTGTGGTAGTGGAATTTCTTGTCTCAGGGAATGTCAATGAAAAATGACAGAGAAGGCAGTGCAGTCAAAGCAAAGTACACCAAAAGGTACAGAATGTGTACTGGTTGATATCATCTACACCGCGTGGTGAAGGCAGTACATAAATATGTCTGAGTTGTCGTTGTGTTGCATGGGTTGTGGGTTGCTTAGTGTTGGTATGAGATTTGCAAGAATACAGTATTTCACTTCGTTTTTCTCATTTATTTCCATGCCTTTATTTTATCAATCGATAAGGAATGGACTCCCTCCTCCTTCCCTTGGCCCTCCCTGGAGCGGTCTCTGAAAGGTCCCTGTGCCATAGAAGGATTTTCAACAGTTACGGTAACCCAAACTTTTTCGTGGGTGGATGAGTGGCAACAGAAAGAGGCCCTATCATTGTACCATCATTCGCGATTAGATCGCGCTGGAGCGTAGAAGCCATTTACCTCCTTGTGATCTGTTATATGGCTATTTGTTCAAGATGGTAAGGTTATGACACTAACAGGGATCGAGCTTAGGATCTATTCTAGTTTGAGTGATACGATTCCGAAATCAGATCTAATGCGTGTCACGTCCTAAAGGTCAATGAGCCGATCATCTGGAGGTCTTTATGCTTTTTTTTAAATTTTTTATGCATCAAGGGAAGCGACTGCGATAGAGAGAAGCGCATTGAGGAAGTATATGCACCACGGGGAGCAGGAGGTGGCGCATGCGACGGGAAGCGAGAATTACGCTGGTTGCTAAGGGATACTTGAAGGGCGCTCGAACCCATCGCTACAAGGGAAGGATACCAGGTCGAAGTGGCCATTTGTAACGAGACATACACCACTAGATGTGTTTTTGGACGCTGATCTCGAATCTGCTCTCCAAATCTGCGGAACGATTCTCTGAACGTAGTTATGAAGCGAGATAGTGCAGTGGCAGCGGCCCGAGGCCGACGAAAGAGGTCGTGAGATCGAATTCTTGGCGATTCTCACATTTGCTTTCCTTGAGACATTGCTAAAGATGCTTTTATCCATATAAATTATTAGCGATTGCCTATATTACAAGTGGGAGCTAGCGAGGAGCATCTAACACTGTGCGCGCCATTCGCAAAAGATCGCCCCTTGTACTCGTAGCGCACGCGTCAGGCGCATTCGTGCCAAACAGAGGTGATATTCGTATTCAGCGCGTCAAAATGCCCCTTTCCACAACTTTTGGTCCAAATCTGAAATTTGTACCTAACTTTGCAAATGTGGGCAGTCACCGTTGGTCATTTGCACATGGCACGCACACTTGATCGAAACTCCTCGCTATCTCCTCGCACTAGTAAGGCGAGTGCTGATGACTTAGCATAGATGAGGATTTCCTTAACAATGTCCTCAGGAAAAGCAAAAGTCAAAACTCGCCAAGAATTCGATCTCACGACCTCTTTCCCGTCGGCCCGGGCCGCTGCCACTGCACTATCTCGCTTCATAACTACGTTCAGAGAATCGTTCCGCAGATTTGGAGAGCAGATTCGAGATCAGCGTCCAAAAACACATCTAGTGGTGTATGTCTCGTTACAAATGGCCACTTCGACCTGGTATCCTTCCCTTGTCAGTTACTTCAACGAAAGTCAATGGCCAAACAAGGAGGCCCATTTTTCAGTTCTTAACGGATTTCCTTGCTGTTTTCGCCAGTGACGAATGAGTACCCCCATGTTCACTCTAAACCCCTGTAGAACCTATCGTAATAGCAGGATTACAATTTATTAGTGCGGGACCCGGAAAAGTTTCATATGTAAGGATTTCTCATAGGCAGACGAAGCTATCTATATTGTCTCATAACGACGCTTATCACCGAACCTTCTTCAACTTTCGCTACATCGCTAGAGCGCTTGCGCTCTTTGATCACTTATTTCTGGATTACGTCCACAGTCAATCACAGTGACTTTCATCGCTGTACGACCCAGAAATATGGGATTCGTTACGGTAGTCTCCTCGATGTAAAGTTAGATGAGGCAGAGGTGATGCAGTGGCTATTGGCCTCCTTACTACGCGCACGGGTTGAAGTTCAAATCTGAGACCGGCAAAGTCGATCATTACTCGGATAACAAAAGGTAGCATGGGCAGGTCCTCGTGTATATTTCATGGACCAGTTTGCACACAATTGGCACTACCATTCTGAGTGACAGTAGAATACGCGTACATACCAAAATGGATTGATTAATGCCGAATGCTTCAATCGTTCTCATGCTTTTAAAGGCACCAGTCGGGATTGAATTGATGCGTTATTTTGTTCCAAACATTAGGCAAGGGGTGCAATGAGGAACATTAGTGAGGAGAAAAAGAAAGCACCACAGAAAACACTAAATT